CAGTGGGACTTCTTGAATGATGGTAATTCTATATTCTTTGGAGACTGCAATGCTCCTCGATTTGTTGAGAAGAGCATGCTTGATCCAAAGACAAAAGTTATATGCAATTATTTGGATCTGCTCAAGTGCCAGCAACTGAATACCGTGACTAACCACTTAGGCAGGTTATTAGACTGAGTAGTTTTACTTGTGAGATCACTCATGATGTTATGCCTTTGGTTTCGGAAGACAAACATCACCCTGCTTTGAATATCTGTATACTTGATCTATTTGCCAAAGAAGCTACAATCGAATTCAATTAAACTGAACGTGTTTACAACTTCAGAAAAGCGGATTTTCTTTCTCTTTGCAGTAGCGTATTATTTGCCTCTGAAGATTTTAATGCTGCCCTTGATAAAATATACGAGACAACATTTAGCATTTTTGATAAACATATACCAACCTATAGAAGCTATAGTCATAATTACTCGCTTGGTTTGACGCGAAAATTATCTGCAATATTAAGCAAAAGTTCAAATGTGCAAACGACAGCTACCTTGAAGATATTAAAAATTCATTATCGCATGATCCTAGGAGGTTCTGGTCACATGTGAACTCAAAAAAGAACACTTCTAGGATCCCTGTACATTTTGATGAAATTTATGATAATGACGTAACGACTGTTATTAAGAAACTTAAGGACAAAATGACTCGATAATACTCCATCCTTTTTGATCAAGGATTCGTGTTTTTTTTAACAAAATTCTTTAACTTGTGAATTCGGTCGTAGAAGCTTCCAAAGCTTTGGAAAGTCGCTAAAGTGTCCCCTGTGCTAAAAACTGGAGACACGTCCAACGTTGAAAATTATCGTCCGATCTCCATTTTGTACATGTTTTTAAATCTTATTTATCTTCGAGGTGGCAATTTGCTTCTTATAATAATTTTCGTTCTGATACTTACTCAGCCTCATCCGGTGTTCCGCAAGGTTCAAATTTGGGTCCTTTGCTGTTCCTGCTATTCATCAACGATTTATGTGAAGATTTGCAGAGTGAGCGTTTATGTTTTGCGGATGATTTGAAAATATAGGATATATGGATTTGAATGATTGTACTTTCCTTCAGACTCGATTGGACATCCTCCGGCACTGGTGTGATACCAATAAGTTATTTCTTAATGTATTCAAATGTAAAATTATGAGTTATTCTAGAAGGGAAAACTACCTATCACTCTATTACCTGAATGGGCTATCTCTGGAGCGTTGTACCGAAATTAAGGATTTAGATGTGATTTTTGATTACAAGTTGGCATCTGGTAAACATATTGAAGCATTAGTTTCACATTCTATACAGTTATATGGATTCGCTGTTAGAAACTGTAGACATTTCCATAACATAAGAACCATTAAGCTACTGTATTTTGCTTTTGTGAGGTCTAAAATGGAGTATGCTTGGAATCCCTTTTATGAGTGCCAAAAGAGTTGTTTGGAGAAAGTACAGAGAAGATTTTCTAAGTGCTTAGTTTATAAAATTGATGGAATTTACCCAGAAAGGGGTGTTACCATTACCGAACTATACAGTCGTGTTGACCTTATATTTCTGGAACAGCGCGACATTGATATTTTTGTTTAAGCTTTTAAATAATCTAATTGATTTTGAATTTCAATAGAGTCTGTACTTTATCTGACATATTTTGTACTTAGAACAAAGAATTAGTTAGGATAGCCAATACATATGTAGGTCAAGGCTATACATGAGATATTTTTGTTTTATTATATAGTTTGTTCTGTATCTTTTGTATGGATTTTGTATAATATTGTCATGTTAATGGGTTGGACAATAAAGCTACTAACTATCTATCTATCTATCTTATGTTGTTTAAGCCAAGAGTCCACCATGGTCCGTGGGCGGTCACAACCCCACAAGGATTGTAAACATTATCCAACAATTACCATATTGTGGTGATTTTTTTTGGGACTCTTTATATTATTATTTTTATTCATAACTCAAATCAGCGATTATCTGTTTTCTAATGTATGATTGGTATCAGAATGAGTTGGGCTGATTAGTTCAGCATACTGTGCTTAAAATCTTTGAACAAGCTTCTTGAATCGTTACTTTTTGGCTGTAACTAGAGCTACATGCAATTGCGGATAGATGCCGGACTAGTGATGTTTGTGGTGGATTTTAAATACGTATAATACCCACGGGGATCTAGGGATCTATGAGTTCATTATAATTATATTTTCCTCATAAATACGTCAAACTTGTTGTTCCTTATATATATGTTCTTCTTTTTTCCCGATTACCGAAGAGACATTCGTGTAGGTTGATTGGGTAGGCTATTTGCTTAGGCACAATCTCCTTACTTCGCACAAGAACACAGAAATGTATGTGCCCTATATCGTTAATAGCCTTAGGATGATCCACCCACAAACTGCGCTTACAGTGGATACTGTTCTATATTTATCTACCCCTTTGTTATTTTGGTAAATAAATATCATTTCGATTTCAATTTCGTCTCTGGTAAGAAGACTTATCGAGGCAGCTCGTTGTGTTCATTTTTCGAGCAAAGCGCTTCGCTATTTCGTCCGCTATAGCCTGACATTCGTTTGGAAACGTTGTTGCAATGTGTCCCACCAGTTTATAAGCCACCGTATCGTCTACTATTTAAATTGCAGCAGATATTGAGAAAATAATTCGACGAAGACGGAACTGAAAGGACCTCAGTATCTCCCTTCTGCGCGTAAACGTAGAACATCTGACTAAGCAAGGAGAACAGAGGTATCGCTTCTGTATCGACCACCGGAGACTCACGGTGATAACAAAGAGATACTTCTTTCATATTCTCAACACCAACGAGACTTTAGACTCGCTAGGAAGAGCAGGACATGACGAAAGGGAAATATACTAAGTGACATATAAATCCGAACACCCAGTTTAAATGGTTTTATTTTAATAAAAGTTGGTGAATGTATTTATCTTACTGTAAATAACAAGTGAAAAAATGTTCAGCCTTATCAGTTGGACATTCCGGTTTTTATACTGCTTTTTTTTAATTCACTAACGCTCTAAAAATGAATATTTCAGCCGCAGTAAAGAATCAACGTTGGCGGATTTTGGTTCTTGACATCCTTTACGATCGGTTACGATGCCTAGAGTACGGAGACCTGTACGATTTCATCAACTTAGTGAGTTTGATAGGGGCCGTATAGTGGGACTTCGGGAAGCTGGACTTTCTTTTCGGGCAATTGCAGTTAGAGTGCAAAGAAGTGTAGTCACTGTGGTTAGGTGTTGTCAGGCATGGCTTCGAGAAGGCCGTACGCAAAGAGCAAGGGGCACTGGACGCCGCCGTAGAACAACAGACCGTGAAGATCGCCGCCTAAGATTATTGGCCACTACCAGGTCCATTGCAAATGAATGGTTTGCAGAACACGGAAGACCTATTGGCATGCGACGTGTTTACCGACGAATGAGAAGTTTTGGCTTGTTTTCATACCGGCCACACTGGGTCCTCCCTTTAACTCGAGAACACCGACGTAATCGCCTTGAGTGGTGCAGACAACGGTCACTCTGGGATCAGGAATGGAACAGTATTGTCTTTAGTGACGAGTATCGATTTTGTTTAGGGATGCACGATGGTCGTGCCAGGGTTAGAAGGCGACGTGGTGAAAGGAGGAATCCACAATTTTTTGTTGAAAGACATGTTCATCACACTGTTGGAGTTATGGTTTGGGGTGCTATAGCTTATGGTTCCAGGTCACCTTTAATCTTCATCAGAGGTAACATGAACGCGCAGCGTTATATCCACGAAGTTCTAGAACCCCATCTTTTACCCTATCTTGACACCCTGGCAGATCCAACTTTCCAACAAGATAATGCCCGACCACATGTTGCAAGAGTCACAATAGACTTCTTTCAACATAATGATGTCACATTGTTACCATGGCCACCAAGATCTCCCGACTTATCCCCAATTGAGCACGTGTTGGATATGATGGGTAGGAGATTGCTCAATTTGCAACGTCCTCCTCAGACTCTAGAAGCACTTCGAGATGAGTTGGTGGTTGCGTGGAATGAGATACCACAGGAGGACATTGACCACCTGATCAGAAGCATACCTAGGCGCGTTGGAGAATGCGTAGCACATCAGGGTGCATCCACACATTATTAAAGGTCAAAGGGCTTTAAAGCAGTGCAATCATTTTAAAATTTTTATCATTTACTTATTATGCTTCATTAATTACTTATACAAAATTTTATTAAAATAAAACCATTTAAAGTGTTTGTTCGGATTTATATGTCACTTAGTATATTTGCTGATGATATCATCTCTGTTAGATCTTAAAATATTTCAGAGCTTCTAGGAAAGGCTGTGATCACAGTCGACTGTCAAAAATTAATTTAATACAAATACGTTGTATTGTAAATATCGCCGTTTGTTGGAATGAGCTTATATGTATAAACTTTCAAAAGCAGCAATATATCTGTCCAGGACAACACATCAACTACTATATATGGTTTAAAACTCCTACAGGTAAGTAAAATGAAGCAGATCGGAGACTTATTCTACCTTACCTGTTTGATGCCTCCTCGTGGCGGACGGTCTGTTCTCAAACTCGCTCAGCTACATGCCGCTTGTCCGAATGATCTGCCAGGAAAACACATCAATTTACGATTCATCGATGAACGGTTGCATTGAGGATGGATAATATCTGAACGACAAAACTTCACCCAACACAAACGTAGCTATATCGCTTGATTGGTAACATAGAATTATCCTGCAGAGCTGAACTTTCCTGAACGGATATCTCCAAGCCAGAGATGGGCACAGCACGTTACAGCTTGCTGCAAAACTAACTCTCCGCAAGAGTTTGAACATACATTCCATTTGTGTCTCGAATGAAAACATTTTCTGTTTTTAACAAGTAGGTATATTGTTTCAGTTTGATTTTACAGTGGGTAACAAATATTATGTATTTTACAGATTGTATGCAAAATTTCCTGCAACTCTTGTATTTTACATCGAACCTTTTCTAATAGCGCTGTTCTTTATATGTATATTTGCAGTTTTGTATGCATAGATATCAGCTCGTAAATATTGGTGATTGTACGCACATGGTTTTAGATACACATACCCTTGAGTTGCACAGCCTTGCTGACACTGCTATTGAACAAGAGGATATTCTATTACTATCATCATTGTAAATTGCGGAGTATACAACAATTATTTGATTTTTGCGGTTACACAAAATAAGCTTCAGTAGGTATCACATCTCCACAAAATCATTCAGCATCATGTGGTTATATGACTGAACAGCATATTCCAGTTATATCGTTTAAATTCCATTTAAGCTATATCGATAGTTTACACCTTCTTGTATCCGTAATGAATTGAGATGGAGGCCACAAAAGCACAGGCTTTTCGTGCTGCATTGGAAGGTACCATCAATTTTTTTTTAAATTAAGAAAGAACTTGCGAGCAGGAAGCGTCAGTATTCGATGCGACTCAAAGGCTTACAAATACGATAACATATCGTTGACTATAAGACTATTTACAAAATATGTTACATATCATGGAACCATATCCTAAATTGTTCTGTGGTGTATGCGTGGCACACCACACCATACCTCACAAAATTATCAAACAGTTGATTTTGAAGTTTCCACAAAACGTGCTTTATACCCAGGTCAATATACAGCATACATATTTATATGTATTGCGAGGCATGGATGCACAATTTGGCAACTATCGCGCTGACAAGTAGATAAGTCAGCCATCTTGACGTTGAATTGCATGGAATTAATCTTCAGTATATATGTTTTGTGATGAATAGTTTCGATCACCACTGTCACTCTTGCTGCGGCGTGTCTATTGAATCGCAGTAACTAGATATCATCACTGAATGTGTGGAGCATTTGACACGCAAACGAAGAACGAGATCGCAGACAAGGCTGCAAGATCTTTCTTAGCTTAGACGATGCGTGGATTTCGACTCGATCGGCGATACTGCAACTGATTTATCTACAATTGAAAGTAGATGCATGCCCCGTCGTACTCTCAAAACTTTTCGACTAGCTTTGCAACGCAAAATAGCTCTAGTCTGTTCGGAGTCGCTTAACTTTATCAGAATACTCGCACTAACTTCACGCATAGAAACTCCAGCGGAAGCACTATATCACACATCTGTAGTATTCTGAATTCGTCGTATCATCGCTTGATATTCAAAACCTAGAGTTTTATTCTCCAACTAACTGACTAGAGCAATCTTGGAGGAGGATCTTTAACGGAAACTTTGTTCGCAGGAGAAAAGTGAGTTCACGGTATTATACACCACATTAAAGATGTTCAACCTATGAATTTAACCTACGAAGCTTCCTCAAAATTCATTATATATTTCATTCAATGCCTTTGCTTGCCCAGAATCCGCTTTAAATTACGTCATTTGGAACTAAAGCTAACAAATCGCTAGCTCTTTAGAGACTTGCGCAATTTATAAACGTTTATAAACTCTATGACTACCCTACACACATATTCCCGATGCAGTAATCCAACACTCTCAAAACTTCCACGACACATATTCACCTTTCCCTATTTACACTTTATTTACACACGTTACAACATATAGGCATGATTCTACCCAAGGATTATTTACACGTTCTATATATACAATCTATATACTTAGCGGAAGATACACTGCAATTTGTTACCGCACAAGAAAGAAAATAGTCAAGATGGTGACACTGAAGACGCTCTTGGAATGCTGCGACGAATCTAGAATAAAGAGAAAAAGTGTTACTCAAACATTTCGATGTCATATATACTGATTTTATGACAGCCTTTGACAAAATCGACCATCAACAACTTGTACAAAATACATGAGGTTCAACAGAAATATATATGTCAAGTAGCGGTGTACCTCAGGGTTCCAACTTGGGTCCCCTATTGTTTATCTTGTACATCAACGATCTTTGAAGATCGTTATCATGCAACAAGCTCATGTTTGCTGATGATCTGAAGCTTTACACATCTGTTTCTAGCCGGTAAGATTGTGAAAACCTCCAACAATAAATATTTTTTTACAAATATGGTGTATCAATAACAGTTTGTAATTAAACCGTAATGAAAGCCGCATTTTAAACCTCACTAACATGACAACGTAGAAGACTTTGATAGAGGTAGAATTATTGCCGATCGAGATGTTGGTTCGTCCTAACGCGAAATTGGCCGCAGTGTTAATTGTATTGCAATGACGGTAATGCGTGTGTGTCGGATGTGGATAGAAGAAGGCAGAGGAACACGAAGAAGGCCAACTGGTGCACAGAGCGTCAAGACAGGCGTTTCAGAGAACGGCAACATTGGAAGGCAGAATGACGTAATGTGATCTTCAGCGACGAATCGCGATTCTGTCTAAACTGAATCCAAATTCAAGATGAGATGTAAATAATAACAGTTAGCGCGTGATCTCTCGGTAACAGGTGGTTACAATGCCTCTCTTAAATTTCAAGCGGCCGCCTAGCGGAATAATGCGCGGGGCAGGGGCAGGACAGGCAGAGTTGCACTCAGGCCACCTTCCGTCGCGTGTATCACTGCGTGCTCGTGTTTTCGTATTCACCTTGCTTGGTTGTTGCTGTTGTTGTTGTTAAGTGTATTTGAGTAATTTGTTAAGTTTCTGTTAAATACTGTCAACTTTGTTTTACAACACGTTGGTGGTAGTCCATCATTCGAAGGTAGCCCTGAATGCAGCCCTGTACGCCGTCCTTGCTTTTGGTAATCACGCATCCGTTCTATCTTGGGTGTAAATACACTAGAGGTACGCACGATGGTCGTACAAGGGTAAGAACGGAATGATATTGTCTTCTTTTTGTTGAAGGCAATATGACTGCTGCACTTTATGTTGATGATGTCCTACAAACCACTTTACTACCGTATCTAGAGCAGGCGTTGACGTTTTGCCGCGGCCATCCCGTTGACCGCATCTGAATCCCATCGAACAAGTGTAGGATATGATGGGGAGGAGACTATCCACTTTGAACCATCCGCCACAGACTCCGCCGCGTTCGAGTTGCTTGGAATGAGGATCCACAACCAGACATCCAGTATCTTATTTTGTCGATGTCTAGACGTATACAGGAGTGTATTCAGTTAGACTAAGACTAAGACTACCTAACAGTATATACATGAACATTACATGATATATATTCTTTTTTCCTAATATCATAATTTCTTTTCTCTCTACTTAAAGCGCCTTTCTTTTTTTTGTGTATTTTATTTCACTCTATGGCACGCTATGAGTGAATTTACCCATTCTAATGAATGCTTCATTATTATTATAAAGGTAATTTTTGCTCTTGTTCCGTTCGTTGTCCGGCCAGAACCGTCCTGATGATTGCCAATAAGCATGAAGCAGCACAATTACGTAAGTTACATGTTTCACTTTTCTGGGATATGCTTACCTGTCGACTAGACTAACTGCAATAATGCTCTAGAGAAATGACGGGTTTTGTGTGCGCTCCAAATCCCAAGAAGGCATACGTTGTTGAAAATACGTCCATTAAAACCTGATAAAATGGGGCTTTCGAAACGGAAGCTAGCCTCCAGGTACATAAGAATTCAATTTGTCATGCAAATATTTCACCCTGTCTTGCCGATTATTTGCCCGATTTGAATGTACTATTTCTACTGTCGTCTGTAATCTACGTTCAGGTGGTAACATCCATCCATATAGCAGCAGAGGTGGCTGCTTACTGTTCAAAATAAAAAGGTAACTCTAAAGGCGGAATTATAGGTAATAGCGTTATATGTTTTGTGTCAGTGCTAGTCCTTCAATTGCAGGTTAAGTGCAATATTCCTGTCATCAGTTCAGCCTCCTTCAGGAAAAAGTAGCTACGAGAATGAATGACAAAGGAATTAAATAAATCAAGTCAGTAAGACAGGTCTATACATCAGGCATAACTTGATGATGCGCCATTTGATTTATTTTCAAATTTTGGTGCGATCTAATGTGATGTTCAGTTTACCTGTAAAAAAATGTACGAAACATAGAGACCTGTCAATCAAGAGCAAAAATATGTTGAGCTAAGTATCAAACCCAATATTTGAGTGTATTATTTGCAATACCTAACATTTGCTAACAGTTTCTAATAACAAAATTTACACAGTGTGTTCGTATACCTATCCAGAAATTCATAAGATTTTTCTTCCTAATGAAATGAAAATTCTTCTTCCTCGCTGAGAACGATGACAAAAATAATTGTATATCTATATACACCTGTGTAACTGTATAAAATGCAGTATACATAAATTATAAGAAATAAGTAGGAGGTAGGGAAAGTAAAAGCATAGTGTAGCTCAGAATATTCGATAAGAACCTTAAACAGTTATGTACGTATCAATATCTCGTTTCTGTTACCTTGATTACGTACTATGACTATGAATTATAGCGTTTAGTCCTAAGTTTATGAATCACTATTTCCTTATTGTCCTTTACAATTTTTACATCAGGAGATATGAACAACGATTTGTTCCATCCTCAATCTTAACTAAAATGTTGTCGCTTTTATTATAAGTTATAGGATTAGCTGTCATGTCATATGTCACTTTTATGTTCTATTTTGGTTTTATTAAATTTGTCCTTGAGTCATCGTAAGCTTTTTATAAAAAGGTAGACGACACAAGCAGTCGCTTGACAACGGGTGAAAAGTCATTTACACGTGTAACGTTCTTTTTTCCACTTCAAGCCATTGTTACATCAGAAACACCTCCAAACAATAACCATTCAAACTTTTATCAGCGTTACAGCCAAACTGCTTCCCCTTGCTGCTATTGAACCATTCTCTTGATACAAACTCATTCTACATATTATTTATAAGATTCCGGACCGTTGCGCGGAACAGTTTCGTTAATGGGAAATTCTTATAGGAAAAGGTAGCGTCTATCGTTCGTTACGAACACTTGTCAACACATCCTTAAATTTTCAACTGAAGTTGATCTTCACATGTAATATAATCGTAAAGTCTATTAAATCGGTAAAAAATGACAATCTGTCGTTTATGATATATTTTATATTGGCCGGAAGTAGGTCGACTCTATATCTCTCATGCAAATGTTGTGATTTTCAATCACAGTTTATATACAGGGTGTCCGCAAAGTTGGGGTTTTCCTTTTCAGAAACAACTACCCTTGAAATAACAAAGGTAATGTGTAGTGAAACGAGGGCGACCAAGTAAAAAAAAATAAAGTAAAAGTACTCACTCTCCAGTTGACGAGAAGGGCTAAGTACGTCTCTGCCTGAAGTCGAAAGTTATTCACCCCATTACGCGTGAACGTAGATTCGTCTGTCACCAATATGCACTTCAAAAAGTCCGGATTATTGTCATGTTGATGCAACAACCACTCACAAAACCGCACTCTTGCTGGAAAATCGTCAGGTTGGAGGGCTTGTACACTTTGGACGTTTGCCACACTTTAGTTTTTGATACTTGCACTTCTCTAGCCACGTCTCTAGTGCTTGTTGAGGGATTCTCGTCTACGCAATTCAGTAGTTCTTCCTCAACTTGCACCATTCGCGGTTGTCTAGGCCTCCCACTGTGCCCACCTCGAAATCCCTCCAAATGGCCCGTATCCCTGACTCTCTGGACCAGGTACACAGGTCTTCGGGGCCTTGGATGATGTCGTCTAGGGAAACGATCTGCATACACTCGCGACGATTCTGTAGCATTTTGAAGACATTCGCCATAAATTAACAACATATCAACGAGTTCATTACTGGTGTATGAGTGTGCCATTATTATTATTTTTTTTTTAAACGCAATCGATTACACGGGTTCGTTACCTCTATACGCGTGACCCTTTACCGTCGGTTGAAGGTTGCATACTGACCTGACACGCTGACCCCGACCCCCGACCCAGTTCAGTCGTCAGGTTCAGCTAGTAGCCGGTACCAGTCTGGGATATCGCGGCGGGTCGCGGCTACAGGACGGTATTCAGATATTTTTGATGTTGCAGAGCCCTTTATCTCGGTTCCCTTAAGACATTGGTGTATATGGTACTAAGAAAAATTGCTTATGTTTTCAAGATCTACACGTCGTGTAAAGGAAAACCCCAACTTTGCAGACACCCTGTATATTTAGGTTTGGAAATAAACCGTACGTTAATAATAATAATATTTAACGAATCACTCAGCGATGACATGCCCTGCGACATAAGAAAACGAAATAAAAATTATTTGTCTAGTGCGAGGAGAGCTACTTTTCATTGGAGGTCATTAATAAAGATTCCATAGATTAGTTAAATCATAAGCTGATGTGATGACCGTGGCGTTCCAGAAAAATATCTAAAAGATCATTAATGTCATTGAGAATATGCCCCCATCGAAATCATCTCTGTATATGATGTGTCATTTGACAGATAGACAAAAATAAATCTCTATTTTGAATTAAGATACTCAATTTTTAGAGACACGCAATTTAATAGTATCAAGAATGCAAAAATTGGTATCGATGCACTCAAAAGCATTAGTCCTGCATCCCAACCGATCCGAACGTCACGCGACGTGGCGCATCTCTTCGCAGACGAAAAAATTTGTTCGGCATGCGACGCCAGTCCGACCTGGGTTGCGAGAGCATTTCAATTTGCACTTATGTGCGCACAGCATACCTGAAAATGGAATTTTCCTGGCTCTTCCTCTGGCTTTCGCATCATTCGTATACCACCCAGGTAAATTAGACACTTTCACTCAAGTATTTACACAACAGGCGCCGCACTAATGCAAT